ATTTTTTTCACCAACTTACACTGAAAAGGTTGTTTGGTGATAGGAAATATATTTCAGTCGCCCATAATTGCTCATATTGAATTGATGATTACATGAAGGTAGCGGCATGGCTTACCTACTTATTTTTTTTACGCAAAACCTCTCTGACTTGTGCAGATATCAAAGGAACCATCGTGGCGTAAATTAAAATTCCAAACTCAACATTATTATTTCAGACACGAATAAGACCTTAGGCAAACTGCGTTTTTAATAACGTGGCACGGAAAAGTTTATAACATTTTAGAATCAGACTTTTTGCAACCGATTCTACATGTTACTTCAGTCAGCACCCGTTTCACCCACTTCAGTCAGCGTTAGCGTGTGTTTCATTCTCAAGGCTCTGTTTACTGAAGTGGTATTTTTTGCTATATATAATAATCGTTTTCTTACGCTCTAGTCAGAATAACAATTATTTTACAAAGGAATATACGTGCATTTGTATTCCTCTTTTTCTCCGTCCCCTTTAGGCAACTTTACAAGCCAATAACTTAAATTAGTGGGAGCACATGACAACTGGAAATTTCTACTGCCATTAGCTAACGATTGAAATTAGCTCGTCCTGGCATAAAATCAAGTGCCTTGAAAACCTCTGGCAGACAATGTGATGTGTGATGTCTGAATAGTTTGGAATATCTACGTTTCTTTATATTAAATGCGGTTAAGACAGTTCTAATTGATCAGTTACGCGGAGTTAGCACTTGCAAAGGTAAGCTTTGTCACCTGCTTATAACTAATTGTAAATTATAACACTGATTAGCTATGTGCTACGCGAGAACGGCATTTTTCAAAATAAAACTATCGCTTTGCCTTCACTTTTTGACACTCCACGGAATTACCTCTTAAACAGCCTCGTGGCATTACAAATTTGCGCGCGGATTTTATAGTTTGATTAACTTTGTTCAACTGAGGAAACCGAGGAGATGCTTAACTGACGATATACTGAGTTCTTGAAGTGAGCCGATAAAAAAGTCAAAGTTTATCATCATGTCTTCTGCGGATCTTATTTCAAAGGTAATCGAGTTGTACATTTTCGATAATATAATTCTGAACAAGAGAGATTAATGCTCCAAACCAGCCAGTCATCTGTTATTGTAGGTTATCGATAAGATACTAGCTGATCAGAAGCATTTTGAGAAATGCAGACAATTTAACTAATGGTGCGGTGAATATTGTTTTGCCTTACTACAAGTAGTTATGAACTAGAATGATCAGGGAAAAAATACCCGGTCCGCTTATGCAGCAAAACCCTGCCTTCGATTAATGCAATGACTGCGAAAAGGCAAATTGATATTGACGCTCTCATATACATCAATTTGCTCGAAATTTCATATTTTGACTACTCGAAAAAATTCTCAAGAATTTAGAGACTTAATATTTCGTTCAGTGGTACGGGCCTTTTGAGAAGTTAAACTCAAAAATTCTCAAGATTTTACAGATTAAATATGTCGTTCAGTGGCACGGGCCTTTCGCGAAGTTAAACTGAAACTGAGGGTTTTAAAGCTTGGATGGTCACTTTGATTAATAATATATCATGACAGTAATTTTCACTTGGATAGCAACCAAAAAAACGAGGTGGAGAATAACACTATGCCCTCACTATTCCGGCTAGTTCAGTTTCATGTTGACATGAAAAGTTCTCCAGTATAGTATAGTAAACTCCTGTTTACACTGCTCCAAAGAGTGCGGGCACAGAAACCTATTCAATATGCGACGAAGATCGGCGCGGTACAGGTTCGCTAGTGTTAGACAGAAACCACACCGACATCGCCAATCTCATTAGTGAGTAACCCTATCTGATATGGGTTTCGCGCAAGAGTAAGAGCTATCTGATACAATGTAGTCATCGTCTTAAATTGAGTTAAGGTAACGATTAATTTGTTTTTTAAGTCGAACCTAGCTTGCTCCATGCTCCAAGATGATAATAAGCAAACTTTCGTCCTTTTTCCCCTTGACCTTGTTTTCGCGACGTCCCTGTTTACGGAGAGTCTAGCAAAGGCTAGATTGAACCAGACAAAGCATGTCTAAGGAGGCGTCAGAAAAATCATCTTATCGGTTGTTAATAGGCCAAACTGTATATGCCACCGGTCGGTTCGGTCAAGGTTGCCTTACTTGCAAAATTCACAAGATGAAAACTGAAAGCAAGCTGATTTAGGTTGATTTAGCACAATCATTCAAGTGTAAAAGTGTATCTGGAATTTCTTTTTGTAACGTCCTCTTTATCCTGCTTTTGATCTCCTCCACGATCCGCGAGTGCTGGGAAATGCATTCTCACAGGCAAAATTATTGATAATCAGCATCCAACTTTGTTTAAAGATCTTAATTGTTATCCTTTGGCAAAGTGAAGACTCCTCAAAGGTATGAATTTAGTACCCTTCAACGAATGACAACCTTTATGTTATTCGTTACGGTTTATTTTTTGAACTTCGGAGCCTAGTTAAAGCTTTCCATTTATTTTTTATACAGGTTTTAATATCTAGGCCGATTGTGCATTTCATTAATAAAGCATCTAACATTAAAGAGCGCCTCCCAATGGTTTTAGGGACCATTACAATTTTAGGAAACAACTCCATTCAGGTATACTTCAGATACTTGAAATGAATTTTAAAGAGCAGAGGAACATTGGTTTTAACCATGGAAGAATAATTCCGGCTTCCGTGACTTTTTCATTTTTAGACCCTTATTGGGCGACATTCCTTTTGTTGCTATGGTCCGTCTTGCCCTTATTTTGCGACTTGGATGGCAAATTAATGGACCGAAGCCAGGGTGAATTACGTTCTTCTCTAAAGAAAAATATAGTAAAATATAAATTAAGGCGCTTGCGATACATCCACTCTAAAAAGGAGGCCAGCTCGATAAATGTCCTTTAGTCTACATCAAAAATCAGCTCTAACCTTACTTCATATAAGATATTTTTCCAAATTTTTTATATACCGAAAAGTCGGCTTTTAACGTTAATATTCGCTTGCTTAAATTTTGATATTGAGAACTATATTAGTATGGCTGATTTAGTATTAATAAAAACAAAAGTATAGAGTCTATTCACCTGACTGTCATTATGGAAGGCTCTGTCGGAAGGGTCTGTATGCAGAAACTCATCGATCAGTTAATTCTGAAGTAGCAAGGGCACCCAACGGCAATTTTCGGGAAAATATCTGTTCGGAAGACGATTTGACAACTAGAATTTTCGGAACATTTGTTGTAAAATTTCTTGCTTGCCTGCCTCTCCTAGGATTTTCGAACATCTGCAAAATGGTATAATTACCCATTTTAAACGGATATTTACCCTAAAAAAGGCCACCTAGAATTTTCGGGAGCCTTTTCCTGGCTGAAATTTTCGAAAAGGTAAGTTTTGATCCCTATAATTTTCGGATCACTAGACTTTCAGCTAGGAAATCCGAACAGATGAAAAGTTTTTACGGGATAAAAATATGCCTATATCTACCGTTTAAATACTAAAATACGTTCAACAATGCTATGTTAAGTGGTTTTGAACTATATCCTCGTTGGGTGCCCCTGAAGTAGTTCTCAAGAATCATGTAGCATAGAATTTACTTGGTAACACGAAAAGAACAGGGGCTGAAAATGCAAACTTCAGAAAACATCGCATAAAACATAAAACGGGGCTGGCGGTACAAGAGAGACAGTGCCTCAGGACAACTCATCACAGAAGTTCTCGACTCATATGTCATGCGTATAACATTTCTGAGACGGAAAGGTAAAATAGGTTGAGCCAGAACGTTTAGACGTATGCCACACCTGTCTGCGAGTTGCTTTCGAAAGAATTTCACCCAGCAGAATTCAAGCTTTTGCTTTCTCAACCACATGGTGACTAAACAAGTTTTGGGCTTCACCGACTATTTTACAATTTCTTGAGTTTTATTTGCCCATGTTTAAGGCAAAAAAATTAGCTTAAGACAATAGGAGTTTTTAGTTGGCCTTCTTTTGTCAAGTAATGAGATCAACGCCGGGGACTTGTCCAGAATGGACAAGGGGAAGGTTATATATGTGCCGGGTTCCTTTTTACCTCACAAGAAAGGATCATGAAGACGTGTTTGTGGTTCTGCCAAGCGACTGAGTCTGCGAACGAAACCTCTTTACATCAATTAAGTAAAACACGTTTGTCAAAACGTCAAAAATATTGATTATGTTAATTCATTCTATGTTATTGATGGTGCTCAGTCTTGAAATGATCTCAGTGCTCTGGATAGCGCGCGCCTGCCTTTTTTATTATTGTTCAAGTAATTTTAGAACGGGTGGGATACATTGTTCTTAACTGAATATCACTGGGGGAGGGGGAAGGGATACAATTTTTTTGAACGTCCCAGTCTTGTAAGACCTAAAAGTTTTACCCATTTTCTGTCTCAAACGTTTTTATATGAAAAAAGCTTCCTACGACAGAAAAAGGGTATCTATCCATTTTTAGTCTCTTTACAGTGAAATATCTCATTCTCTCTTTTTTTTTTCAAACGTCAAACGCGCTGAAAGTGTAAATAGACTATGTTCAGTGCATAAAGTAATTTTCTCAAGGGACCTGTTTAAGTTTTGTACTTATTGATTGTTGTCTGTTAAGTTGGCCTTTGCCCACCTGTTCAAATTGAGAGTCTGGGTAATTACTTTTACATTGGTGCGTAAAACAAATTAAAATTTCACCGTTTTATGATTAAAATCTTCTGCATTAGTAATAACCGTAATAACTGACCAGCAATCATGCATTTTCTTTTGCAGATAAACAAAAAGTCAGGCAACGAGGTAATTGAGTCACCACAACAAAAGATTTTATTCAGTTTAGCCAATTTTATATGAGAAATCAAGTTGTGGAAGATTAAAGGAATTAAGACAAAGGGACATTATAGCCGTCAGCTTTACAAACTCTTGTCTATTGTTAAGGAAAGCAAGTTCGAGTTCGCTCTCCAACAAACAGGGGGTACAAAAGGAAACGTAATCAACATACACGAACAGTAATGGCGTTGTTGTATCAGGTCAGCAACGTTTCAAGAAATGCAAGCGAAGAGTTCGCCGAATCAAATGTTACGGATAGCTTGGAGAAGTCTTCCAGGACACTGTTAATCGTGAAAATCACATGCTACTCCGCAATCTGCATCACTGGGACCATTGGCAACTTGATGTTGATATTTTCATTAGCTCTAGAGCGGCAACGCAAAACCAGTCAGTACTTCATCCTTAATCTTGCAACAGTGGACCTTTTGACTTGTGTGCTGAGTATACCGTTTGACATTGTTCTGGTCGCGCTGGGAGGCTGGCCTTTTGGATCTGTATTGTGCAGAATTATTTACCCTTTGCAGACTATTTTCATGGCTGTTTCGGTGTCAACGTTGTTATGTATGGCCTTGGAAAGACATCGGGCAATTATCCACCCTCTTAAATATAAAATACCTGGAAGGGTGATAATATTGGTCATAACACTAATCTGGGTGTTAAGTGCGGCGTTGGTTTCTCCGTATGTATTGGCGCTGAAGATGAAAAATGACAACTGCGTAGAGAATTGGCCCAACAATGATCCAATATACCCTAAAATGTTTACATTAGGCGTGTTTCTTTTACTCTACTTGGGACCCCTGTGTGTGATATCAGTGACCTACACGCGTATTGGAGTGCACCTTCGAGCCGACAGCCGCAAAGCGAATTTTCTTGTAGCCAGTAAAAAAGCCTCGGTAAAGAAACATGCAAGGCGGAATATACGAGTCGTCAAAGTGTTCGTATTTGCTGTTATAGCTTTCGCAGTTTGCCTTCTGCCTTTTCACGTAATGTGGATCTGGAGTGAATTCGGGAACGGGCAAACATGGCCACATTTCTCCACGGTTCTGACGTTCGCCTACGTAATTTTTTACGCCAACAGCGCGGTGGATCCTTACATATTTGGCGCCTTAGGACGAAGGTACAATAGTTGCAGATGCTTTTATCAGAGATTTGGCAAATCAGGTCTCACTATTGTTTTCTCTGATAAGGAACGTAGGAGAAAAATGGCGCGAAATTGGAAAAGGGAGAAGTTAGCCACTCCTTGCGTAAATGGTGGAAGGGTTAAAGATTGTTACAATGGAAAAGAGAGACTCCCATTTAATAATAACTTCTTCGATTTGGTATATGAATCGACGATTTAATCCCGTTCATGAGCAAAAAAGTGATACTGACAATACGAATATCATTTGATCGCTTCAGTGAATCAGTCTAGTGAAGGCAGGAGCACCTGGTGAAGGTTAAAGACTCCGGTACGAAAGAAATAAGGAAAAAATTGTTAAACATTCTGCGATGATATTGGAAGGGAATTCCTTCAACTGATTCTTTTCTTACACCTGCACGGAACAAAATAATCGCTGAATTACTAGTCAAATTTCAGTGTAAACTTTCAGGACCGAACCTGAATCCTGAGCATTGAGCTTATTATTTTGGCATTTGGTGGCTAGCATTAGACGCATTAGCGTCTAGGACCTATAGATTAGACTGAGTACAAGTACGAGTTTTAAAACCAGATTAGTGTGTTTCATATCATAGTTACCCCATGAATCTTATCTCTAACGTCAGTTATTTTATGTGCTATAAGGCAGCAACAAGATGTAAAAGGAAGGAGTTGTAGTCGTACTCGTATTCGTTTTCGCACTCGAAGTCAAATTTAAAGGTCGCAATTGTTCTTAACCTATAAGATGACAATATACCCTGAATATCAGTAGTCCTAGAATTGAAATCTTCCCTAAGGAGAACTGATCCAAAAGAATAGAACTTTTCATTATCATTTTCAAGTTCTTTAAAGATTTAAGGAGAAAGGTGAAAGGAATTGTGTGGTGGATAGCGTGAGAGCAAGCTCTCCGGGGCGCTCTGGCGGCGGAGAGGGAGCAGAGATGAGAGGTTGCAACTACATCTCTGGAATTTGAGTATCTGCTTCGAAAAATTGGATGCGAAATGCTGATTGGCGGAGATGACATTAGTAATGATGTCATTACCCTTGGCACGTGTTTTCCAATGTTTGTTTACATTCGCGCTCGTTTCTGCTTCGCGCTGATTGGCGGAAATCTGGCAGTTCAGTTGACGAGGAGCCCAGGGGAATTGGAGGTCAAGGGAATTCAAATTCCAGAGACGTAGTTGCAAGTTCTCCTTCCTTTTCCCGCCCCGCCTCCAGAGCGCCCCGGAAAGCTTGCTCGCAGGCTATGTGGTGGAATATAAGCGCCACATACTTTTTGGTCACTCCCAGTGATATGTCTTAAACTCTGAAAATTCGTTGATTCTTCTCCACTAAACTCCAATCACCAAATTCCGAATTAGAAAGCAAGGCTGGGCCACCCGAGCTACGGCCACATTTTGCCGTTTTTCCCAGCACGTGTATTCAAATCCTTGAAGCCTTCAACATTAATATTTATGTTTCATTAATGTTCAATGATGTTTATTATGTTTTCAAATACTAGATTGACTTGATCCTGGCGTATGGGTATCTAAAACTCGACTCGAGTGACTCAAATGGTTGAGTAATCTTAGAAAACTTTTTTGAACAGTTTATTTTCAACACATTGAATTAATGATGTCTTGACGAAATTGAAACGTCCTTTGATTTTATAGTTGTTCTTTACTATCTAATCTTTGAGCAAAGATAATTAGATAAAAATAAGTACACCAAACACGGATTTCTAACAGAAAAAAGTAGTTTCAGTAATTATGTCTTAGTTATTTTCTTTTCGCATCGTGAAACGAGCAAAGACAACCTTCTCGTAATGACATGCCCACATGTAAGAAATAATAAACACTTAATGAGGGGTCCCGAGGGAAACAAAATTATTATAACTAGCTTCCCGAGGGACGAGTCATTGAGGCTATGTCGTAACCAGCCGGATAGCTCTTCGTGACGACATGAAAGGTTTTCTGGTAATTTGTATGAATGGCAACGGCACGGACCTGGAACAAGTCATTCACACCCATGTGACTTCGTGAGTAGTGTAGGAGCGGCTCGTAAGGTCTCTCCTAATTGGTCGCAGGAAACAATGACATGTCATTCTTCCAATTGTTTTAGCATTGTCTGGGGTCAGGGAAACGCACCATTGGTGACTATTCTTCCGAGAAGCTGCGCGCTACATGACCTCAACATCGTAGCGGTCCGGTTGGCTGAGAGAGCTTGGTTCCCCTAATCCCAGTCCTCCCATGTCGTACCTCCTACGTTCTGACGAAGAGTGTCTGGAACAAATCCTGACTGTCCAATACGTGACGCCGATCCTCTTTCAAGGTCGGCGCGGCGCAATCCCGTTCTTATGAGTTAAAAGGTTAAAGATTTCTTCATAAAGGAAAGTGCCCTTAGCTTGCCTAGCAAATTTACTTACGTGTAGGCACAACAGCTTAATCTCTTATAGTGTAAGCATAGCCTACGTGATTGGTTGCCTAGTTCAGGGCCCAGTTGTTCGAACGCCGATCAGTGCTTAACCCAGGTTTCTTTTTCCTGTGTTCCAAACCGTTTTTCTCAGATAATTTTCTCTGTTATTTTAAGAGCTTCCAATCGTCAACTTGTAGACAAAAAGAATTAAAACTGAAATGCTTTTTAAGCTTTAGATCTGAGTTCAGATCTCGCACTAACCCTGGGTTATCTTAACCCAGCTTTGAACAACTCGGCCCATGAGGAAACTTTTTATGTGTACAATTCTCAGCAAACGCTCTACATTTGCGGGTAAAAGTGCATTCTGCCCTCTGACGTCAGTTTCTCAAGCTTGCATGTCCACTCAGACACTTCTGGCGGGAAATACTGATTTTTTTAACTTTGATGTGTATTAATAAAAGCAATGAGAGTGATCGCTGTTCGGGAAAAAATTCAGCCAAATATTAAAAAAATTATAGTGCTTTGTTTTTTCACTGTTACTGAGAGTGTGAGACTAGAGCTGTCAGAAAAGTGAGGCAGCGAATACTTTTTAATTGACCCTGCCACTGATGGGTTGTTAGATTGTAGCAATCATTATTTTGCATCATCGCTTGAAATCTCAACAATAACTTCAAACGAACGCCATTTTCACAAAAAGCGTGGAAGTGTAGATATTGAGCTAAAAGGGAATTCCATGGTTAGACCTCCAATGCCTTGCTGTTTAACTGCCCGACAATTTTTTTTGGGTTTGGACAAAGAGATTTGTTTCTAAAAGTTTCATTTTAAATCTCAGTAAGCTTTCAGTGAAAGCTCTTAAACATTCGCTATACCTCTCTCATCAACTTATCCTGGTGACCCACTGAAGACCACAAGAAGCAAACGTTATCCCATCACTGCGCTTTGCGCGGCAGCGATCGGCAGATTTCACTCCCAAACAATTTTTCATTATGCTAGAGGCGTAGCCTTTGCGCAGTGGGTAACTTACGGTACTGATCACTGAGGAGTACACAGAAGTTCCCTTTCAAGAGCTAGTTCCACACTACCCATTAGCTGTTAAATGGAAACTTCACGCATGTCCTTTTACGGCAAATGTGGTGGTGTGTAGTGTGTTCTTGTTCAGATCCATAAAACCTGCGACCGGGCCCCTGACAGAAGCCTTGTCTCCATTAAAAGGTGAAAATAAGTTCTTGTCCCATTTATGAGACAGGTCACTCTTGCCTACATGTTTCTTGTAAAAGTTGGCTGGACAAGAAGGGTGATCCACCTAGCCGGTCACACTTTTTAGATGGTAAACCAGTGTCATCCTCCTAGGTGGGCCAACTTTTCTACATTGTAACACTTGGCCTCGTCCAGCCTGGTCAACTTGGTTAAGGTAAGACTTTCAGAGCATGCGGGCCGGAGCGCCGTTGTCAGCTCTCGGCTCGGGCAAAGAGGTATGTTTTCCTCATAGAGTAAACGCTCACTAAAATCGATTCGACTGGGAGAGTGACCCTCTTTCCCGGGCCAACTGACAACGGATTGGTCTAATTTCGCCACTGACTTAAACTCGTGCAGTCTCTACATTTGGTGTATTCTTCCTGGTCAGCAATTTCACCTCAGCTTGATTAGATTCTTTCAAAGCCATCTCTCTTCCAACATACAGACGTGATGACCCAACACGGAGTTCGTAAAAACAGCCACCTCGCGCGTCTGCATCCGAGGATTTACGACAGCATGCAAAACATTTAGATGATTTAATGTTCTTTAAGGAACCAAAAATGAAGGGATTCGAAGCACTATTTGCGTACATTAGGATGTTGCCGAAAATCAGTACATCTTGAAAGTATTTACTTTCCCACCCTTGGCCAAAATCGTGCCAAATCCACGCCGCGTGGGTCGGCAGCATGCATACTAGAAAAGCGCTAACAGCGACTATGAATACTTTTGTTATCCGCATTTTTTGCAGTGTGCGTTTTTTCGTGTACTGAACTTGTGATCTATGACTATCTGCCATCATGTAATCAAGTCTGTTAAGTTCTTTTCGAATTTTCAACCCAGCGCGGATATACGAGAAAGCGATGACTGTGAGGGGTATCACATAAAACAGGGCAAAGTTTGTTAGAGTGAAGACTTTGACGTACCAGTCCTCAGGCCATCTTTCCATGCACTGCCTGCCTTCAAAGCGCAAAACGAGTGCGTAAGGTATAAGTACCAGGCAAGGAACGATCCATGAAATACATATGGTCATCTTGGCCGTTCGTGGAAGAACGCGCGGACGAAGAGGTGTCATAACTACACGGTGACGTTCTAAGCTCATAGATAACAGCGTAATGACGGAGACAGCCATTAAAACGGTTTGAAATGGATAAATCAGGTAACACAGTATCGATCCAAATGGAAAGCCGCCCGAGAGACGCTCAGCAAGATCCAAGGGAATGCTAATGACACAAGTCGCCAAATCTGTAATGGCCAAATTGAGAATCATGTATTCTCCGATTCTTCGCGTTTGGCGGCCAAGCAATGTTATTATAATCATACTATTACCTACAAGGCCAACGATTGTAATTGCAACATACAGAACCAGTTGGATTATCTCGATCGCAGAGAATCCGTTCATTTCCTTTTCATCTGTAGAGTTTCTTATCGATTTATAAAATTCAGGCATTTTTGAAGCAACTATGGTTAGGTTTCTTCTCCTTGTTGTTGGTACTTTCTTTCTGTAAAAGAGTACAAAAGAAAAGATCCGTAAGTCTGGTTTCGCGCTGTTTTTTCTTGCATTAAAGTGGGTTCTGTTGTTGTTTATATTTCATCCTTCCCGGACTTCGCCGCTGTTTAAATTCATCGTTAGCTTTTTTTCTTTCTCTTTTCTTCTTTTATTTTACATCATTTACATTTTAGCAAACAAAAATCCAGTAAATTTGAACGAAAAAAAAACTCGCCCATTTTCCTAGGCCAAGACAAAGTTACCACAAAGAACGAGGAAGGCCAACATATTATCACGAGACCACCTATTAGCGATGTAGCAAAAGACAAAAAACGCGAAAACATAATAAATTCTCAGCCGATCAAGCTTAAAACTTACTAAAACCGTATTATTAAACATGCCAAAAAATTTGCTTTTCTTCCCAGCAAATGTTCAAATTTGGCTTATGTAAACTGAATACGCTAAAAGATGGCTCATATCATGCATTCAATGATGCATTCAATTTAGTCATTTCTTTACTGACAACCTCTAATCTGAAGACCTATTTTATTACAGCCTAATGTGAGTTTGAGGCAAGAAAAGTAGATGAAAATCACTCTACTTGAAAGGTCACTCACGCAGCAGACCTTGATTTGCAGAATTTGTCAGTCACCATTTTAGTTTGTAGGTCAGGTGGTCGTAGAGGAGCTGAAATTCAGGTTAGTGTGGTCGACACATTATTTTGTATGCATTTGAAACTAGACAAATTGATATATGACAATAAAAACAACATCACTGCCAAACTTCAGCAGTCAGGTATTTAAAACCAAAAGAGCTCAATAAGACTTCAGACTTTCTTTGAGTCCCGCAGTTTAAACATATACATCAACCTGACAACGCATGAAATTAATGAAGCTCCTACACTCCTATAGCTAGCTATACGTTTTTTTATCAATAAGACATGGATGATTATCTGAACACAGTGACAAGTTATTTCAAACCAAAATTTTACCTTACATGCCCGATGACAGTGGTCCAAATCAATGCTCACTAGCTGTCTGTCTCATAAATTCCCCTTTTGATATTTCGGACAACGCGAATAGCTATTTCAAAGATAAATGAAATGAACTTTGCTCGTCGAGCGATCAATACTCAAGCTGTGTCAACTTACATATATGTACACTGTTGTAGAATGTTTAGTATTGAATTGTGAGCGCAGTTATTCTATAGCCAGCCAATATACAGTAAGGAACTCGTCGGTTAATCATTTTCTGTGCGGCCCTAGTGAGGGAGTAAGCACGTTAGATGTGGCCAATTTTATCGACTTAATTGGTGATTTAGATAAATGTATTACCACCCAAGGAAATTCTTAGCGGTGGCTTCACCTTTGACATGATGATAAATTGATTTTTACGTATTTTCCTTTGCTGTGTATTAGAAGTTGAATTTATTAAAGACATGGCTAA